ACTAAATGTTCCCCACTGAATCAGGTGCCAGATTAGAACCCGGTTGAATGACAGAATGGAAATATATTAAACTCGCATACACGCATACAACCATACTCGTGGGCCGCAAAATTAGCTGTACAATTCTCCACTGGCCTCCAACACCCGTCTCCCCCGTTGCCCACGACCTCATTGTGCCCTGACGAGCACCACCACCACCACCACCACCACCACCACCACGAGCCTGATCAGTACTACAAATCCTATCTTTGTGAAGGTGAGTTTTCGTGTTCAAACCGGTATACGGGGTCGATCAAAGTGGACAAATGACTGTGGGGCTCATCAAGCTCATCAACCAAATCACCGCCCGCTCCATCTCCAACTGTTTAATTGTGATAGTGTTGTGCTATGCCTGACCCCAAATAGGTCCACAGTTAAGTTGGGCCAAACTAAATCAGATTAGATTGGTTCAATTATTGAGTACTCCCATGATACAGTCCACCGGGGTGGGGTACACTATCGGGTGCTAAGAGAACGACCTAAAGTATGTAAGATGGAGGTGTATATTTGGTCGAACAGACTGCCTGTGTGTGTGGGGTGGGGGGAGGCCAATGAGCTGGAGAAGAAGAAATGACCGATAGTAGCCCATGCCAGCATAGATAGCACTGTAAGGTTCCGTTCGCGTGCAGTAGTTATCACCCTCTCTCTCTCTGTCTCTCTCATACACATACGCATATCCATCCCGGGGTGTGTGGAATGAGATGGGATCGGAATCGGTTGGAGAGGCTCGGGTAGGGACGGTAGGAGGTGGATGGGGTATGCAAGTGATTAAATGAGTTGACGACAAACGAACGAGTGAGGGGAAACGCGTGGATAGGATTGGAACCGCCGATGGCGCGCACCCAAACATACACACGCACACACACACACACACACACAGCTACATCGCCTGGTCGATCAAAGTATATTCATAGACGGTTGCACGAAGAGTGGACCAAATCAGATAGATAAAATCAGTGAGATACTTACCCAGCAACTAATCGTTCAAGAGTGACAATCAAAAACAGTGGTTTCTTGTTGCCTTGTCCACCGTTGTGTAGACAACTGTTGAAACACATGAATTTCCCGTTAAATTGACTGTATTCACATCCCTCTGTGGAAAATTGATATTTCCACACACATCACAGGCAAGGGAAGTAGCCGTGCGTGTATGTGTGTGTGTATGTGTTGAATCGAGATGGTGGGGTGGTGTGGTGTGG